GGGGGGGGGGGGGGAGGAGGAGGAGGAGGAGGAGAAAGGAGACCATATTCCTTATTAGCAATACTGGATTTGGACCTTAAATAAGGAACGGTTCCTTGAGATACAGAACAAACAGCATCAAAATGCCAGATGTTGGGATAAAGGACAGAGCTGTTACTCCCTTGGGGGTTATATGGAGGTATCTGACTGCCTCTAATTTTCTTGACAGTCAGTTTGGTGTAGTGGTTAAAGGCAGGGGCTTGAAACCAGAAGACTGGGAGTTCGAGTCCTGCCTCAGCCACAAAGCCAGCTGGGTGGCTGTGGGCCAGTTCCCTCTTTCACTTTTGAAAAAGCCAAGAAAACTGCAGAGACTGGCCCAAAGAGGGTTCAACCCTGACCTGAAAGCATTAAGCATAATTTCTTTCCCTGGGATGGACTGGAGCGCGTGGTTCAAAAGGGCTTCTGAAGCCCTTGATCATAATAAAAACTAAAAAGAACACTCTTTTTCAAGAATTGAATGTTTTAAAAAACTTATAAATAGCCAGTGTCTGCCTCTGAGGCTCCCTTTCAGCATCTGCTGGCTTTACAAATGTGAGAAGCTGAGTTGAGACTACAATGAGAATCTGAGAAAACTAAAATGGACAGATCTACTGTAGGTTCCCTACCCTGCAGTCAGGCAGGATAGGACATGATGGGCTTTAGGGTAGCAGAAATAGCTCATCCTTCATCTCTTTTTATCTTCACATCCATCATCCCTGTGAAGTGATGGAATTGGAAAAAGAGCGACCAGCCTAGGAGGTCTAATTTTAGATACTAGTGAATTTATGCTGTATATAGAATCGCGGAATGCAAACTACTGAATTTGTTAACTAAATATTGCCGCCTTTGAAATGTGCTGGCAAATGTGAGTTCCTGAGAAAACCTAATTTTAGAATCAAAAGAAATAGGTTCAAATAGATCCAGGCTGATGTGATTGACTTTTTTTTTTTTTTTTAAAGGCCATTGTAGCTGTCTTAAATAATATTTTGTTTCTTGATCAGCAAGGAATTCTCTGAACTGCTGGAAAAATTTGGATCTCATAGCAGCATCGGTTCTGCTCACAGTTCATCTGTTTCCCATGGAGGCGGTGAGTATTTATGATACTGAACTGGCAAATGGGGTGGGGGATCTCATCAAAAAATGGAGCAACATCTCAGTAGTTCATCTGTGCAAAGAGAAGGTGTGCAGGATCTCCATGGGGAGAGGATTTAATTTCTTAAATCAAGTCTGAGCCTTAGGGAGTCATCAGTGTGTAAAGAGGAAAGAAGATTACCTAGATGGATATATGCAAGAACTGTTGCCTAGACAAAAGGGGCTGAAACATTTTTTAAGTCCAGAACAACAAGATAAGATTCAGAAGTGGCTCAGGCAGACACCTCCCTAATTCATTGCAGTATAAGAAGGAGAAGGGGTGCAGCACAGACTTGCAAAATCCTATTATTATGGAGTCCTTGGGGCTCTCTGAGCTTGGTTGCTTGCTTGCAGAAGTTTTATTACCCAACTAGGTAACATCATCAGTGTGAGTCGAGTGTGGGGTTTTCTCCCTGTTTATATACAGTAGTTTGCCCTGCCAGTGTTGGTGGGTGGATGTTTTTCTCCTTGGTAGTTCCTGGATTAGGGCATTGTTTTCTGCTTGATTGTTTGTCTGGTGTTAATCCCTGCTTATCTGGGTGTTGGCTGCTGGAGAGGATGTGTTCTAGTCTTTTTGTTTCCTTCTTAGCTTTTTTATTGCCTCTTTTAAATGGTGTGTAAATGTGGTTTGATGGCTGATTTGTCTGAATGCCAAGCTTCCAGAAATTTTCTAGCATTCTTGGATTTAGCTTAGTCTAAATCCCAGTTTCTCAGTTGAAACTATGGTTGAGTTGTCCATGTGTTGTGAAATTAAGGAGTTTTCATCGTGTCTTCTGACTGCTAGTTTTCTGGTTGACAGTATGTGCTAGGACAAAGGCAGGTGTGTCCAGAGATGGGGCAGGGGGACAATTTATATTTAAAAAGTCAAGATGGCAGCCATGACCGTGGAATCGATGCACATAAAAAAGGATCGGGGCTTCAATCACCTGATTACAGCTGCCATCTTGACTTTTTGATGCTTCCTTGTGGAAGTCTTTGGGTGGAGCAGTAAATATTCAGAAGAAATCTACCATTGGTTGCTGTGCAAATGGATTCTGCAGCATTGCTAGCATCTGTCTTTCTCTGACCAAAAATCCCCACAAAACCTCATTTTTTCATGAGAGGTGCATCTAGAAAATTGGATTGTGGGGTGTTTCTTTTTTCTTTGTCGCTTCTATTAATTGAATATTGAACATTAAAACAAATAAAATCCATTAAAATGGTTTGGGAAAACCAGCAAGAAATTGGAGTGCTGTTGTACAATTTGTTGAATGGACCAGATTGATCCCAATCCTCATATCCCTTATGGACATGAGTCTGAAGTTAGGAATCAGAGTTGTAGAGGATATTGGAAGATCTAGATGCTAATAAAGGCTATCATTGTCCAGGCAAACTAAGCACATCAATCCTACAGCTAGGATAATAAACTGAGTCATTCCAACATCTGGTGCCCATGGACCCCCAGTGGATCAGAAGTTCTCTGGGGTCATAGTGCTTATTTCAGAGGGCAGTTGTGGACAGATCTAAGGGGTCCTTGGTTTGAAGATCCAGACCACAAGTAAGGATCTGAGACAGAAATGGAAAAACCATTTCTTCATCCATCTTACAGTGCTGTCCTTGACTCTGTTCTTCAGGCAGGTCCTTGGGAAGCACATCATCAGGGTCCTCATCTTGTTCCCAGAGTCCTCTGTTGCTGAGTCCAGCACATTCCCATGGGATGCTGTTTGGAAATGCAGGACATACCCCCCATTCAATCTCACAGTATGTACTGAATTGCTGGGAAGATTCAAGAACAGTTCGTGGAACTGCTTGGGCCGATCCTTATGGCCTTTCATATTCAGTGCACCTTGCATGGTGGAAGTTCATCTTTGTGTACATGGGGGTTCATTTTCCAAGATGTCTTCTTTGAGCAGGAATACAAGTATTTAATTTCTTTTGTGTGTTCTGCTAAGTTACAGCACTACCTTTTTCATTTATAGTTGTTCCATTGGAACTGAGATCCAGAGCATCTCCATTGGAAAGTTTTCTGACTTGGGGTTAACCATTGCTGGAGGAACCAACCGGTCAGATGGACCAATGGTTTATGTCCAAGACCTACAACTAGAAGGGGACTGCAATAGGGTATGCCAAATACTCGAATGCCTTCAGTTACTTATGTTGCTATTTCTATCTTAAAGCAAGCCAGAGATTTTCCTTCAAGGTTTTCTGGTTGGTATGAAGAACTTGGTATAAGGAAGGAGAATTGAAGAAACAAAACAGCCCTTATCTTTCCTGGCTCATAAAGCTTGATTTTCCACTGTTATTCTTCTCCCTACATTCTTTCAGGATGGGTGCCTGCAAGCAGGAGATCAGCTAATTGCCATCAATAAAGACTCATTGGTGGGTACCACACATGAGGAGGCTAAACAGATAGTGGCAAAGAGTTTGTTCAGGTAAATTGTTGCTTTGGAGTTCATGGCCATTGGAAGGCATTCCAGGGAACATCTGGAATAGAGTTGGAATAGACATCTCTAAAGGAATTTAGAGCTGATCTTGGGGAAAGAAGGAGTGTGCCATTAAGGAGGGACTTGGATGCAGCTTACCCAGAGATTACACGGTCCAGAGATAGAAGGAAGCATGAGAAGGAAACTCAGAATAACCCTGCCTTGATTTGGCTTGGTATAAGATGGGGCAGGGAGAAACGGACAGGCTTTCAAGATTCTATTACTCTACCTTACAACAACAAAATAGCATTCCTGGAATTCCTACAAGGTTGACCTGGCTTACCTAGAAGAGCTGATGGCATCATCTTTATCCATATTTCTTGACCAAAACATGAACCACAATGTGCTGTGAGGCACAGTGCTTAAATTCCTCCTGATTCCATGATGGGATTTTTCAATTCATGTAAATGTAATGCAGCTATGAGACATACCTAACATACCTTTTCCCCTTAGCTTTCTACTGAGAAATGATGCAAAATTTGACTAAAGTCAGGAGGCACATTAATTTAATAGATGATGATGATGAGGGTGATGAAGTTGATTGCTATTCAGCAATTTGCCATGGAAATTTACTTTCATGATTCTGGGGTGCCTGTGTGGAGGATGCAAATGCCCCCTCAAAAAACATGATGACACATGCATCCCAGGGATCACATTACCCAGCCCTGCCTTGTCCTATATTTAAGGCTAACTGTAGTTTATTCAGGTTCAGACATCATAAAAATCATTGATTAGTTTAAAACACAAGAGAAGTTTCCATGTTCCTTCTCAGAGAACTGTCAGAGAAGGAGAGGAATTGATGCGTCTGAGGCTCAGTCCCACAACTATACAGCCACCTTCTTCAACTTAGTACTTTCCATTGCAATTATAATTCAAGGCATCTGGAGGACCAGTTTGAGGAAGCTTATGTTGACTTGTCTATTTAGCACGACGTGTGAACTCAGTTCCTCTGAACATATTTACTTCTCTGTTTACTAAGAGCCATCTCTGTTAAAGCACCACTTTCTCTCTGGTCTTTTTATAAGCAAGTTGCTTTTTTGTTTTTCAAGACATGAAGGAAACACAGAAGTGGCCTTCATTCCAGGAAGAGGACAACTGCATCCAGGACACTGTGCAAACAACAGTGCCCATTCATTGCCCATAAGACTGGGGGACAACGGCTTGGCCCCTTGCAGGTGGAAAGTCCACGTGAGGTCCCCCGAGGTAAGATTTTCAATCCTGATGAGCCAACCATGATTTACATTAACCCAGTGAAGTTCTTCACTTTTGGAACTTGACCATCTTCTTCCGGGCAAAGTGGTAGCCATGGTCTCATTTGGACCTGCTTGGTTCTTCTCTCCCTCTCCAAGGGTGGAAGGCAGATGCTTTTCTGAAATGCCAGCTACAAGATGGCTTTAGTAAAGGGGAAGAAAACCCTCCCAAGGGTTCAGATATGAAAGTGTTCATCAGACAGTTAGTCAAGATAGGAGGCAGAGCTCAACAAAGCCTGGGGAACTCAACTTCTAAGCAACCAATCCAGAGTGGGAAGCTTTTCCCCTCTTTCTCAAGTGAGTTTTACAAGGGAGGAGGCACCTTCCCTTAGCCTTTGTTCTCCCCGGTTGGCTTCTGCCAAGCAAGTAAGAAATGTCCCAATCTTGGAATTAATCTTGGCTGAATCGGAAGGAAAAGCCATATAGGGGAATATGGAGCTAGATGTGAATTACAGGAGCTTCTTTTTTAATTTTTTAAAAAATATGGATTGATCAAAGATGCTTGTTTTTTTGTACCCTAGTCCTGTTTCGTACTCCCTGTACGGTAGGTATGTTTATTATATAGATAAAATTAATCTTAGTCAGTGACCAGATAAAATAGAACATATACAGTATAAACTGAATACAGCAAAGAAAAAAGGGGGGGGAACCCCATCTAGATACCACCAGAAACTTTTCAGGTACATATTTGTATGAATGAGCTCTAGTCGTGTTGAAGTATTAAAGCAATTATTAATCAGATATTAGTGTTATGGGATTCAGTATTTTGGTCCTACATAGCAGAACAGTGTTTTCTAACCTTGGCAACTTTAAGATGTGTGGACTTCAACTCCCAGAATTCTCCAGTTGTTTGTTCACATTCACAGTAGTGATACAGAACTTTGCTACCTTGTGGGTGATAACACTTTTCTTGTCTGGTAAGAGGACATTGACATGACGTTCCTCAGGATAATTTGGTGCATGTAGCAAGAGAAGATGAGAAGATGCGTCTCCTTTGATCATTGTAGGAGGACCAGTGTAGCCGCATGTGCAGAATAGATTCAACTGAACCATCGCTACAAGGACAGGTTCAGCTAATCCTGGGGCTTTCATTAAATCTCCCATACTTTGTGTGAGATGGGCGGCTATATAAATATGATAAGAAAGCAAGAAAGCAAGAAGGAAGGAAGGAAAAAAAGGGAAGGGAAGGGAAGGCAGGCAGGCAGGCAGGCAGGCAG